CATCCCAAAGCAACAGGAACAGTAGTTATCATCCACACTTCCTCTTTTCCCCATCTCTTTCTGTTTCCTTATGTCTGTTTCAGAGATAGAAACCCAACTTACCTGGTATTTGCCAAATGATGTGCACAGAAAATCCTAAATGAGTAATCACCACCCACATTTTATGATATCGCTGAATGTACAGCAAAGAATCCTGATGGTGGCGTCTGCTGCCATCCCACATTATCAAGGTTGCAAAAATCCAGAGGGACACTACCTGGCAACAGGGAGTTGGGATTTTTGGCATAGCTTTGCTGCCAGATTTTTTTCAACCTGGGCATGGTAGACCTATGGTGTGTGGTTAAAGACATGCCTGTGTAGAGGGCGTAGGGAATGGCCTTGAAGAACAGGAGGAAGATCTATTAACATGGCATGGTCAGATAAGTGGGGTTTGAGCCCAGGCCAAGAAAGTAGCTTGAGAAAATGTCTCAGACAAGCCCCTCCCAGCTCACATGAAGATAAAGAGAGGGAGAAGGAAGCACATTCAGAGTTGCAAGATTCTGCTACTACAGCTGTTACAATAAAAATAGTCCTGACCTATATGGGATTGGATTCTTAGTTTGGTCTACCTTGGAAGACTGAGAGCCTGGCAGCCATTCACACCTTTACACTTCTGCTCAAGAAACACCAGAACATCAGAATTCTTTCAGTAAACATGGTTGCCACGTGTAACATGGGATGCTCTCCTAAACGTAGTTAAATGTCTGTAAAATACAGTTACTTCTATTCAATTTGTCTCTGAATGAATCCTTCCTTCCTGAGTGCTTCCAGGTCAGCAGATTGGGAAAGGGGGGCAGAATTTCCCTTCCTTCTTGCTTAATCCAGTGGTGTCTCCAGGGAGAGTCAAAATCTGCAGAAAAGTGGGTACGGTGGTCATGTGATGTTTCACTTAATGACCACGTCACTTAGTGATGGATTTGCCAGTCCCAATTGCAGTTTTTCAGTGAGGACTATCTGTATTTATATCTTGAAACATCACACTATCTAGGGATGGAAACAGAACAAAGACTAGATGAATTTTGATCTGGCTAAAACAAGAATTTTCATATTTTAATCCTGTTTTTTTAAAAAAAGTATTTTTAGTTTTGGATAAACAGTTGGAACTCAGAAATAAAAGCTGAGTTGTGAGCCTCCACCAATATCTTATATTTTAATCACTGTACTATTCTAGATTTCAAAAGGGAAGGGAAATAGAAAAATGTACTATTTTTATGACTGCTTGTGCCATCAGACTCCCTTTGGCACCAGTCCAAGAAAGCACACGTTCCGTGTGGTTGAGGTTCTGTGCCATCTCAACTATCCAAATAGCATCAAAATGACTGAAATACCATTTCTGTTGTTCTGTATTTTTACCTGCCATATGAAGGGTTTTGGTAAGAAAGGTGATATGACCTGACCTCAGCCTAGCCCCAGCCCCCTCTCAGCAGTTGCCAGGTTTACACACCGAAACATCTCTTGGCTATCACAGCAATATTACGCTGTGATGTAGCCACCAAAGATTCATTCCGAACTACCAACTGATGTGAACAGAATCAAGAATCAAGCATTCCGGTACTAATCCCCAAATTCCCATATACTTTTTTTTTTAATATATTCCCCCCTCTCTCTTTCCCTACAACACTTCACTTCCTTTCTGGTCTTCTGTAACATTTTTGGGGTGGCAGTATTTTTTAAATGTGGGAGTTAAATATATAAGTGATGGTGGGAAAATGGAAGGCAAAAGGAGAAGGGGACTGCAGAGGATGAGATGGTTCGATAGCCTCACCGAAGCAATGAGCATGAAACTGAGCAAACTCCAGGAGGCAGTGAAGGACAGGAAGGCCTGGTGCGATATGGTTCATGGGGTCACGAGGAGTTGGACGTGACTTAACGACTGAACAACAACAAATATGTAAGTATGTGTACACACATAAATAAAATGAATAGAAAGTTGTGAAGTTTCCGAATCTTACAAATATGTGCACTTTACTAGCATAACACAATAGGGCTATAAAGAAAACAATGAATAAGTCCTTTTCTGATCCCCTAATACTCATCCAAGAGTATGGAAATTGCTTCCATCAATTCATGTTGGCTTTTCTTCGGTTATAAAATATGCAACAGCACCATCCTGTGGTTGTCTTCTTTTCAGCATATGGGGTAGCTAAGAATGTAAAACTGCAGGAAAAATGGGCATTGCTTAAGAATAAGGCCAGTCCAAGAAACACAATGAACCTGAACGGCCCACAGAACAGGTTAAAAAGGTTACAATTAATCTAGTCAAAAATAGGCACGTCGAAAATGTGCTGGCATTGGAAATATGCTGGCCTGCTTTGGTGACTATATATATTTTTTTGAAACAGAGAAGTGGAGGGGGGCTACACAACATCTTGGACCATTTTGCAGTTTCTAAGAATCCCCAATGTACTACGTTTCAGATTCAAAGGGAAAACCTTTGGCTGCACACGTAGCCTCCGTCGGCAACTCATTCACCAAATGTGTTTCCTCCCAGGATTGCAGTGCCGCTGTGGACGGTAGGCTTCAGAAAAGAAGAGGGTCTTTATCATATTTATTTATTTCAGTCATTGACCAATAAAATACATACAATAAAACAGAAAACAGTATTACCCCTTTAAGGAGCTGCTGACAAGGCCAATGTATGAAGGCAACGTTTTCCCTTTGAGTTTGAAGCACTGCAAAGCCTTAATTCCTAATCTGTGTGTGTACGTGTGTGCCTGCCTTCGAGTCAGCGTTGACTCCTAGTGACTGCCTGGACAAGCCCCTGCAGTTTTCCTGGCAAGATTTTGGACGTGGTTTGCCCTCGCCTGCTTCCTAGGGCTGAGAGAGAGGGACTGGCCCAAGGTCACCCAGCTGAAATGGGATTAGATGTCACACTTCCTAAAGTAAGGGTGTACAAAATGTTCGGAGCTTGAGGTGGTCATCTTGAGTGTTTCAAGCTCAAAACAAAATACTTGTTTGCCATGACTTTTGTTTGAGGCTCACCCCAAAAAGATATTGGTTTTATCCTCTATTCCAGTGTTTCTCAACCTCAGCAACTTTAAGATGGGTGGACTTCAACTCCCAGAATTCCCCAGCCAGCCATGGGGAACTGGGGAACTCTGGGAGTTGAAGTCCGCCCATCTTAAAGTTGCTGAGGTTGAGAAACACTGCTCTATTCGGACCAAACACCATTTCAAGCAGTATTGTTTCAAGCATTACAACCATTCCAAGTGCTGTGATCGGCATGTTCTTTTGTGTCTTGTGATGAACGGCTACTGCTACTTCCCTGGTGAATATTTGGGTACCTGCTTTCAGTAACCCTCCCAAATTCTAGTTTAACTGTTTGCTTTATTTATATTATTATTATTATTATTATTATTATTATTATTATTATTATTATTATTTGGATTTCTCCACCACCCATCTCCCCCACAACAGGGGACTCTGGGCAGCTAGATTTTAGTTTGAAATCTACTGTCGACTGTTCATTTACTGTCAGGCTTTCACCCAGACCACTGCAAAAAAATCTCTAAGTGTTCCAACCCCTTCTCTGGAGCTTTCACAGGAAGCCAAGGACCAGACATGAGTATAATGAAGTTTGTTGCAGATACAATTAGCTGTAATAGCAACAAAGTTCAGGTTTACACAATCTTAAGGATCTCATTACCTGTATGTGTGCATCCAAAGGCTTTAAATCCCATTTTTCTTTCTCCTGCCTTAGTCATAACAGACTGGTTGCCATTTTCTCACATTTTTGTTATGGGACCTGCAAATTGTTTACAAAACAGCCTTGTTTTCAGACATCCTGCTCACCAACTTGCCAGTTTCTTCCTTGATGTATCAGGACTGCTAAGTACAAGTCTCAAGAAAAGAATTTCCTATGTTTTTCGATTCATCTTCCTTTACAGTTAAAAGGATATTTCTCCTCTGCCTCCAAGTTCTGTGCTAGCTTATTGGGAGAAATGAATTCTTTAAGTTAGGTGTTATATATGTACTGATAGCATTGCTAAGTCACTTCTATACAAGTGACTAACAGGACTTCTATGCTGCTGGAGCCAAGCCCCAAAAGATGCTGCTTCACACAAAGTGGTAGATGAAATTCAATTAACAAATAAAGTGCTAGCTTTTGAACTGTGATTCTTGTGCTTGGCTGAAGCTGAGCTTCAGGACACATTTTTTAAAAATGAAAAAGATCTATATTGGTTTGGTTGCTGTCATTTTTGGGGGGGTGTGTGTGATTTTTTTCAAATTCAAAATCATTTGAAAAACTATCCCCTTGACCAGTTTTTATCTGTACATTGGGTGGCAAAGCAGCAGTCAGTAATGCACTACCACCCATGCATTTTTAGAGCTTTGGGATGAAAAATAAGGAAGGAAAGATGTCTTGAGTTCCCATTGCTTTCTAAGGCTGTAAAAGTTGAAATGTTTTTTGTTGCTCAGCCAAATTGGAATACGCCAGATCTGGGGGGAAATGATCCTACTTCATGCATTCGCCTGTCCTAAATATGTGAAAAAGATCTGTTCTCTCTGCCAAAAGTGAAAAGCCCTCAAGAGATCACCAAATTACAACTGCCACAGCACCAGGTAGTGTAACCAATGGTAAAGTATGCTGACAGTTATATTCCTCGACATCTGGAGAATCGTAACTTTACCATCTCTACCCTTTATGAACATAATTTTCTGCAAAGGACGTATCAGGGAGACTCTATTTATTTCCTCCTTCTAATCATATAATATAGCAGAATAACCAGGAAAGACCTGTGTACACCCTCATTCAGCAAGACTGTGCTCACACTAAGGACTTAGTTTTCAAATGTATATACTCGTGTACAATGTAGATGTGTCAATGGCCAACTTGGTGAGCATTGTATTGAAGTGATTAGCGGGACAACACGGAGATACCCTTAATCTTTGAAAGCTATAACATACAAATAGGAGAGAACTTTATTTATAAAGTTAATTTTTATTTTTCATATGGACAGACAAATATTTAAGTATTTACAGGTATATACATTTCTAGGCATGTTTACCCAGTAATGAAGATGAAATGGGTCAGGACAACACTGTTTCAGCAGTTATTAGGACAAGTGTGGTTACAAAAACCTATCCTATTTACATATTTAATGTTTTGATCAGATGAAAGTCAATTGATAAAAATTAGGCATTGCAAATACATTAAATATCCTTTGCTTATTATAGTTTGTACTGTAAAAACTCCAAAAAGCTTTTTATAAGGCATGAAGTTAGAGGACAAAAAACTAACAACCCTTAAAAACAAGTGTTACTTTTACTACCCCCAACTTAATAAAAATCCACTATCAGTCTATTTGTCAAGTCAGGGTTACAGGTACTATTCCCCTGTAAACCTAGAAATAGTTTAAAAATTCTGCTGAATATCCTTCTAAAAAGGGGAGAGGAAGACATCTGAAAAACATTCTTTAAAAATGGATTTTTAAAAAATCACTGCATTTTTTTAAATTAGACAACCACAGCTTTCACATTCACTCCTCTTCTGAACCTATAAGCAAAATATATATATATATATCTAGCTAAAATTTATGTCAGGAAAATTATAGTCTCCGTAAATTCTGTTTGCTTTTTTTGCTACCAGGAAGAGGTCCTAGTCTGAAAGATGTTTTCACAGGCTTTCCAATGATGCAATCCTTGGCACTATGGTAGCTGCACAAGCACTTTGTGCAAAAGTCGAAACCACAGCTTTCTCGGACACACGTTGCCCTTTGCAGATGGGAATCATATTTTGCAGGGGAACCACAGCGATAGCAAACTTTCAGGCTTTCAGTGTTTTTCAAAGTCTTGGCCACCTTAAAAAAAAAAAAAAACTAGCATGTTTTTTGAAGTTTTTTTTTTTTTTACTACTTTCCTGGATAAAAAAATGGAAAATGTTTAGAAAGAGTCTAAGAAGGTTCATAATATACCCACTCAATGGAGTGGGTATATTATGAACCTTCTTAGACTCTTTCTAAACATTTTCCATTTTTTTATCCAGGAAAGTAGTAAAAAAAAAAAAAACTAGCATGTTTTTTGAAGTTTTTTTTTTTTTTTTTACTACTTTCCTGGATAAACAAATGGAAAATGTTTAGAAAGAGTCTAAGAAGGTTCATAATATACCCACTCCTCCTTTAGCAACTGCAATCTGTTCCAGGGACTTTGTCATTAAGCAAAATGGTTGCTAAGTGAACATGTGATAAGAGAGAGAGAGAGACCGCAAAGATCACTGGTTGCTGCCTTCTCATTCAGATAAGGTTTAGTGCCCTGTGCCTGATCCGCCCTCCCTTTCCCCCCTTGCAAGGCAGAGAGAATTGCTTAAACAAGCTATATCTTAAGCTGCTTTTCTCCATGGGGCAGCAATTCCTTAAAAAATGCTAATTGCAAATTAATAAGATCAGCTCTGTGACCTTAAATTAGTGGATTAGAAGCCTCCAGCCCACTGGCACTGCTTGAAACTGACCAGACCTTAATCAGTTTCACACTGAAGACTTTTGTTGTCAGGTGCACAAAATTTGGTTGTAGATGCCAGCATTGGTTGGAAAATGAATTTTTTCTTATTGTCATATTGCAAATGGTCACTAACCATGGTAGTCCCTAAATAAGGAATGGCTGTACCTTGAACCCCTGAAATGGTAAATTATTATTATTTATTAAATTTACATGCTGCTCAACTCCCAGTGACTCTGGGCAGTTTACCAATTGGTAAAACATTAAAAACAAGAAAATAAACCAAAATGAATTGGTGCAACTTCTTCCCCAAGAATGTTACTAATGATTTCATTGAGTCATGCAAACAGTAAATACATTACTTGTAATCATTACATGCTAATCAGTGCATATCAAAGATTCTCAAACTTTGAGAGCCTGGGGCTTCCTGCTACGGGCTTGACCTGGGGGAAAGTGGAGCAGCGTCAAATTTTCCTCCTGCCTTTGAGTTTCCTTGCACTCCCAAAGTTTCTGCAGCTCAGTCTGAGAACTCTTAATCAGTGGTTTCCTTTACGTTCAGTATATAAACTCAGGATTAAAGCATTTGTAGATTACCTCAGAAAATTGTGAATGCCGGCTGAAAGTGGAAGAGCTCTGATTACTCTGGTTGTTTGCTTTGATTCGGGATGCTTTTTTAGAAAAGTTGATTTGTGTAGTTGCTACTTTCTGAATGTAAGTTAATGGTTCACGGTGGAGAGCATATTCCCTTGTGTCAGACTGTTTGGCAGCTCCTGTGTTGCTATTCTGCTGAGAGGAGAGATTTTTATTAAGTAATTATTTGCTTCCATCCGAAAATATCATTGTCAACTACACCTACACACAACCCATGTATTAATCTATTCCTATACTGTACAGTAAATAAGCCTTTCAGAAATGACTGGAGAATGGAACATTCAGTTACTGTTATTCTTTTTTGCCTTATAATCCCCAACTTGATTCCCTTTGGAGAAGTCTGTTTTCTACAGCTGTCATAAAAGCTAGCCCATATTATTTATTCATAATATTTACATCTAATCCTTTTTATAGAACTTAAGGTGGCTTGTCCTAATTAACAGCAGCTTACGTTTGCCTTTTGACCCAAAGCCAATCACTTGACCTCAAACCATTCAAAGCTTGGGGCCACCTGTCACATGTTGTTGTCCCTGCATTATGTCTTCA